GGAGCCGGCCTGGGAGGGAGGATGAAGCGCCCTGGGTCGGAAAGCAGGGACCCCACTGCTGCCCGCCCCCGTCCTGCCGGCTCGGTGCGCGCACGGGCATTTAAACAGAGACCTGGTGGTGTCCGCTTCTGTTCTCCCATCCGGAAGTCAGGGCAGAAGGCATGACCGCCGGGTCACCCTCACCCGATGGGTAACCCTGTGGAACTGCCAGAGTCACCCGGCCTTCAGTTTGGCCCCAACCTGCTCAGAATTCAGCCAGAAGTAGCCTCCTATTTTTCTGTTGCTGTTAAGGAAGCCTGGTCGCTGTCTCCCCCTGCCCCCACGTGGTTATCTTTAAGAAGTATTGATTTTATGTCTCAGCTATGGGGGGATATGGGGGTCTTGAAATACCTTTTAGCCAAGACCTACAGGCACCACTTCACTATATCAATACTAATCTGACTGTGAGAGGAAGGACAGGAAGAAGTGGAGGGCCCACCCCCAGGGCTATGGGCCTCTTCAGTTTTCCCAGCATCTCCTACCTTTCTCACCACCCATGTCCTGCTCTAGACCTCTATGGCTAGAAATGTGAATAGGGAGGGAACCCCAGCCAGGGGAGGGGGGGGGTGCGTTGCAGAGGAGGTACAGAGGTAGTAGGGCTGCAGACTGGAAGGGGCCTGCCTGGTCCAACTCAATCGCCCCCATCCTTTTCCCTCTGCCCTTAGAGAGGAAAGCCCATAGCAGAAGCTTTGGTCAAGGGAGACTAAGTAACAGGATGCTTCTTGCACTTTTCTTTCGAGGCCCAGGAGAAATGGGTGTTGGATGGAAAGAGGTCTCGTTGGCTAAACCATCAGAGCCAAAAGGAAAAATGAATTCAGATAAAGTGCAATAAAATGACAAGAAGAACCTAGGTTTGGATATCTGGGTTAGAGGAGGTGAGGCGGACATGCCTGAGCAGTTTGCTCTTATCTTCCCATAATGTCCCAAAGAAATGGCTTTGGCCGGGCCTCCTGGCGGGGCGATCTTGGGGCAGATCTTCACTCCAATGGGGAGGCCACATTTTGACCCCAGAGGGAGGGGCCTCTTCTCCCTGTGGGTCAGGTAGGCTCCTCTGCAAGAACCCCCAGCCTAACTGTACCCTCCTGCTCCTGTCCTTAGTAGGGGCCCTCTTCCTTGGCTACAGCTTTGCCCAGCTGCCAGAGGGTGGGAGCAGGACAGGCCTGGGCCCATCAGTTGCTGCAGCTGCTGCACGGGCTCCCAAGCCTCTGGGCAAAGACTGGGATGGGCCCCAACAGGCAAGGAGTGTGGCAGAGTGCCGAGGGGGAGAGGTGGGGCGGGGTGAGGCAGGCCCGTTGGGATCTGCTCCCCAAAGACAGGCCCTCAGCTTCACTCATGGGCCTGGAATTGGGGAGTGGAGGGAGGAAAGGACACACCCAGGAAAGGCGGGTGCCAGGGCCAGGTGTATGCGTTTGTGGGGGGGTGGTGGGGAGTAGTTCAGCTCTGACCCTCCCATGAAGGAAGATGACTGAGAGACCTTAGGGGTTCTATCACCCATCCCCCTCTTCCTGTGCAGCCCTCCTGGGAACACACCCTGCATTCTCAGCAGCCGCCTCCCCCAGGAGTCATGCTCACAGGGTCCCCTCTGCACAGGTCCCACTGCTGAGCCAATTCCTTCTTTTTCCATCCTTGGAAGCCTGGAGGTATGGAGCAGGGAGAAGTCCTTCTGTAGCAGAACACCAGCTCATTTTACAGACGGAGAAACAGGTCCCAGAGAGGCTTTCTAGGCCCGGCCTTCTTTCCCTAGGGAGTGTTTTTGAGTCTACCACTGGGCACTGGCATCTCTATTTGTCCCCCACAGTGCAACACGGATCATACTTTGCCTGTTTAGTCTTTTCTCCCCAGTAGAAAGTAAGCATTTGAAGGCCAGGGACCATATCTTTGCCATGCCTCCAGTTTTCCACAGTATTGAGCACAGTATTTTTGTTAGGCACAAAATAGATGTTCAGAAAATAAATATCTGTTGATTAATCAATAAATAAGAATGGGTCCACTCAGCCAAGACCTTGCTTCATTCCATTTCTTATTCTCCTCTTTTCCCAGAAGGGAGCCCATCAAAGGGAGGCTCTGACTTGTGGTACTTGGCACAATCAGGAAAGACCGGGAATCCCAGGTTTTGAGCAGGGGGAGTAGGATGTGATGCTGACAACATCTCTCCCCTCAGGCACCTGTATCAAGTGCAACAAAGGCATCTACGGGCAAAGCAACGCCTGCCAGGCCCTGGACAGCCTCTACCACACCCAGTGCTTTGTCTGCTGCTCCTGTGGTGAGTGCTGCCCCCAGATCTGGACCAGGGCCCGAGGCCTCAAGCACTCCCCACACACATACACAGTCACAAGTGCCTAGGGAAGCAGGAGCAGAACTTGTGCCTCTTCATTTGCTCACAGAGCAGCTGTCCCCACCATGTGTCTGGACCTCCATTGCTGCCCCACCTTCTCTCTTGCTTCCCTTCTCTGTGCCCTACCTGGCTCTCTCACTCCCATGCTGGGTCTGCTTTCTGGAGTCATCTTCCCTCTGTTCAGCCTCTCTCTTCCTTCCTTGTCTGCCTCCCTGCTTGCCCAGCCTGGACTCCTGCCTGACCCTCCAGCCTCTCCTCCCTAGGGTTTGGTCTTGGGCAGCCAAGTTGCCTAGGGCGACAGTGAAAGACTGGAATGTAGGAAAGGCGGGGGTGGGCTGAGGGAGTGGGGAACTGTCGGGGGCAGAGAGGGGGGTTTTCTCTTGGCTGGTCAGAGTTCAGCCACCTCGCCAGAGTGCAGGCCACCGGGCCATGCCAAGCTGATGACATCATGCTCCAGGAATGCCCGCTGTTAGCTCAGGAGGCCCAAGGCAAGGGGGGAGGGGACCTGCTCCCAGTGGCCTTAACTCCCCAGCCCTTCCCTCACGGCCCTCATTACCTCCTCCCCACTGCTTACCCACTCTGCTTCCTTTGCTAACCCTTTAATCTCCTATCTCTGTCTGTCTGACTCCAGCACTCAGTTTTTCTCTCACTCCTCCACCCCCCAGCCTCTGCCTGGTTCTCTTTAGGTTCATCTGTCTGTCTGTCCTTCTGTTTATGGGACCCCTTCTGGGTATGTCTCTTTTCCTCTCTACTCCCCTGTGTCTCATGAGTTTCTAAGTCAGCTTTTCTAAGCCTCTGGGCAGAGCTAGAAGTGGAGATTTTGATGAGAAGAGGGCAAAGGTGGGAAAATTGCTCATTCTTCGCCATGGTCTCACTTCTCCCCCATTCCTGACCATTTAGATGCCCTGGAGGAGTTCCTAGGTGTTAGTTACACGGGGAATGGTCCTGCCTTGTCTGCTCATAGGACATCCTGAGCTGCCTCTGACCCGGGAGACTGGGTTCCTGTAAGCTTGGGGTAGAGCCTAGCACAGCAGGAAAGAGGACCAACTTTGCTCCCAAACAAAGCACTTTGTCCTCAGCAGTAACTCCGATAAGTCCTGGCCTGCTGGCCTCCGTAGAGCCTGTCCCTGGAGGGAGACAAACAAGGCTAGGAGAACAGGAGAGCTCTGCTCAACAAGGAGGCTCCTAGGTTGAAAGGTCCCAGAGGGCCAGGCCTGTGACAATGTGATCAACTCCATGCACATTGTACACCACCTTTTTCAGAGCTCCTTTTGTTGTTGTTAATCCTCACCTGAGGATTTTTTTTCCCCCATTGATTTTAGAAAGAGTGGAAGAGAGGGGGAGAGACAAAGAGAGAGGAACGTGGATGTGAGAGAGACACATCAATTGGCTGCCTCCCGCACACCCAGACCGGGGCTGGGGATCGAGCCTGCAACTGAGGTACATGCCCTTGACTGGAATTGAACCCATGACCCGTCAGTCTGAGAGCTGACACTCTAACCAGCTAGGGCTTTCGGAGCTCCTTTGACCATGCACTCCAGCCTATGGTTGGCTTTGCTTCCCCAGGTGGCTCCCCATGCACTGGGGAGGAAGGCACTCATTTGAGACAGAGTTACAGAAAACTGTTGAGGCAGGAGCTGGAGGAGCAGTGGGCAGAGAAGAGGGGAGATTGGCAGGAATCAGATGGGATTTTTGTGTGGAGGGAGGAGATAAGCACTAAAGTCCAGGTTTAACACACCACATGGAGAGCAGTCAGTGGGGAAGCCCTGTCCTGGGCACCAGGACAGGCTCCAGCCCCTTCTCTGCTGCTTCCAGGGCGAACTTTGCGCTGCAAGGCTTTCTACAGCGTCAACGGCTCTGTGTACTGTGAGGAAGATTATCTGGTGAGTGAGAGGGATCCCCTGGGCTTAGAATTGGCTCCCACACTGGGACACCCTTTTTGGTGGCTCATTGGAGTTCCATCCATCAGGTCATTCTCAGTTTATAATATCCTCCCTTGGTCTCTAGTTTTCAGGGTTTCAGGAGGCAGCTGAGAAATGCTGTGTTTGTGGTCACTTGATTTTGGAAAAGGTAAGCAAATGTCTTCAGCAGAGACTCTGAGTGAGGCTGAGGGGTGGAATCAGGGACTAAATGGATACTGAGAAGGGGGTTGGGGGGGACACACCTATCACCAGATGAATCACTTTCATCCATTCCTTCCCAGAGCAACTGTTGAGAGTGGCTTCTCTGCCTCTGACATCAAGTCCTGACACCTAATCCTGCCATCCCTAGACCTGTGTGATCTGGCCCCTCCCTAATTCTGCAGGCACAGCCTGGCCCTCCACCTGAGCTAGGACTATGGGGTTCTGGGTTTCAATACCCTTTCTGCTACTAGCTAGGATCAGCTAGAACTCAGTTTTCTTTTCTATAAGAAAGGGGGATTGGATTAGATCAGTGGTTTTCAGCCCTGGCAGCCTAGCAGATCACCTGAGAAGAAGCAAAGAAAAATGCCAAAGCCTGGGTCCTCACCAGACACTGTGATGAATACGCCTGGATAAAATCCTGGGGTGGGGCCCTGGCTTTGCTGGTCTTTAAAAGCTCCCTGGGTGTCCCAGCCGGTGTGGCTCAGTTGGTTGGAGCATCATCCCATACACCAATATGCGACTGGTTCGATTCCTGGTCAGGGCACATACCTAGGTTTCAGGTTCAATCCCTGGTCAGACAAAGTGTGTGCAGGAGACAACTGATAGGTGTTTTTCTCTCTTTCGCTTCCTCGCACTTTAAAATCAATAAAAGCATGTCTTCGGGTGAGGATTTTAAAAATAAAAATATTAAAAGCTCCCTGGATGATCCTTCTGCAGCCAGGGCTGAGAACCATTAGCTCTCTAAAGCCTTTTTCAGGGTTTCCGCCTCCACTTTTTAAAAAATTGATTATTAGAGAGAGAGGAAGGGAGAGGAGAGAAAAACATCAATCTACTGCCTCCTGCACTCCCTCCACAAAGGATCAAGCCTACAACCCAGGCATTTGCCCTAACTGGGAATCAAACAGGCAACCTTTCAGTGCATGGCACAATGCCCAACCAACTGAGCCACACCGGCCAGGGCTCTGCCTCCACTTTAAGACTCCTTGGTCCCCTCAGATTCTATAGCATTGTTCTGGAAGGATAGCAGGGGGTTGGGTGAGTTTTGTGAGAGCAGGGAACATCATGGGTAGCTGGGAAGGTGGGACTGGAGGGAGACTGATTCTCTTCCCACCCCACGAGCCAGATCCTACAGGCAATGGGAAAGTCCTATCACCCAGGCTGCTTCCGATGCATCGTGTGCAACAAGTGCCTGGATGGCATCCCCTTCACAGTAGACTTCTCCAACCAGGTGTACTGTGTCACCGACTACCACAAGTGAGTCCACCCCTTGCGGTATGGTGTGGAACTGGGCTCAGGATTTCCGAATCTCAGCTCACCTCTGCCCTCTCTCTTTCAGAAATTATGCTCCTAAATGTGCGGCTTGCAACCAACCCATCCTCCCCTCAGAGGTCAGTATGTCTGGGTTCTCCTGCAGGGCAGCCAGTGCTGCTGCCTCTGGGGAAGGGATGGGAACGTGCGGCCTGGACTCCCTTGGGATGCTGTGGTGCTGAGGAATGTACTCTGTGAAGATTCCCGTGTGACTCTGCTCTCAGGGTTACCACCCTGACCCTAACATCCGGGCCTGGACATGTCTGACAGCCGCACTGGACGCAGGCTCTGTCTCTTCTCTCCCAGTCCAGGGAGGCAGACTTTCTTGAGGTCAGGGTCACCAGAGGCCAGTGTAGAGGCTGGGAAAAGGTGGGGGGAAATCCTCAGGGCCAGTAGGAAAAGGTTGGAAATGATTTATCCCGTGTGTGCTGAGGTTGTGCTTAGCCAAAGCAAATGAGCGCTATTGGACCTCCTGTCCCCAGCTTAACCTCCTTTATTTATGCCGCCTGCCCCTTTCCCTTCCCTTCGCTTCCCCTACAGCTGGTAGAGATAGGTAAGGCCACGCCCTGGAGACCAGGAAAGGGAGGGGAAGTTCCAGGAGGATTTGCAAAGCCCACCGGGAAGCTACAGATGATTGCAGAGAGGCTCTGGGGGCCTTTGTGTGATCTTCCCATTGGGGTGGCAGGGGCCTGTGCAGGGGAGGGTGAAGTTGGGCTGTCAAACGGCTCTCATCTCCATGGGGGTCTGCATTCTTTCAGGGCTGTGAGGACATTGTGAGGGTGATATCCATGGACCGAGATTATCACTTCGAGTGCTATCACTGTGAGGTGAGTGTTGGGGGCCAGGACTCCTGAAAAATTGGAATGGGGCCCAGGCAAGAGTCAAGCCCTAGACTTGACTATAGGAAAGTATAGACCATGAACTCTAGGAAAGTGCTCTGACCTATCTCCAATCTATCTCATCCTCCAGCCACTCTCTCTGGCCCTCCTTGTTTAGTCCTTTCTGATAGGGTCTCCTGGTATCCACTGGAAATGGGAGCCTGTCTCATTATTTTTGCTATAGCAGCGACACCTGGTGTCCAGCTGAGGTATTTTCTCAGGTTTCTCTTCTGGGAGTCCATCCCTTCCAACCCACCCTTTTTCCTTCTGGTCATTAGAAGTCCGGTGTTGAGTAGGGCAGACTCCTAAATGTCCAAGGTGCCTGGGCTGAGGTGAACTAGGCGTCCCTTTCCCCTAGGACTGCCGGATGCAGCTGAGCGATGAAGAAGGCTGCTGCTGTTTCCCTCTGGACGGGCACCTGCTCTGCCACAGCTGTCACATGCAGCGGCTCAACGCTCGACAGCCCCCTGCCAACTATATCTGAGCTGCGGTCACTGCTGCTGCCATCACCACCATTGACAAATTCCTCTGGCCAGTGGGCCCCTGAGGCCAGCTGAGGCAAGGATGTACCTTGCAGGCCTGGCAGAAGAGTCCTTTGGGAAGGGCCCCAAGGGCCAGAGACCCAAAGATCATGACATTCCAAATGGATTGTGGAGGAGGAACCTTCCAGTTACCATGGTGGGGGTGACTGGCTTCCTTCCCACATGTGCAACCTGTGCTGTAGCATATACTTAAGCACACACAGGCGGGCTCCCATACACTGTAAAGGTCTGATTCTAGTCTGTATTTCCAGTATAAGTTTATGCGTAAATCAGCAAATGCTGTGGTCCTGGATTATAGGAAGGGAAGACATCATGGAAGCTCCTAACTATTTTGTACCCCACACACGGGGTCAGATAGGAGGTCAAACAGGTTCTTACCACACCACAGTATCTTATTTCTGTATCTAGATGAAGAGGTGGACCTTATAAATGAGTTATTTCTTGGCCACCTGCTCTCTAAGGACTAAGAGAGCTGCTCACCTCAAGGCTGGGAATAGAGACCAGCTCCAGGTGGGCCTGCTGCCTGTATTGCCTGATTCTCAGGGACTCACGTGAGCCTGGGAAGACTAACTGGGTGCCTGTACTTCTCCTCAGCTGGTGGAGGTGGTAATGAGCAGGTCTTGGGGTATGGAATTGCTGGGGGAGACATTTATGAAGCTTCGAGCTATTCACACTCCCCAGGTGTAAGTGCATTGAGCCCTCCTGCCCAGTATAGGCACCCATGGGCATATTCTCACACACACCTACTCACTCCCTTCTTCTCAGGTCACTCTTGCACCTGGTCCCTAGCAGCAGCTCACTACTCCAGAGCTGCCACCTTTCAGAGGGATCCAGGATTACATCTACTGTAACTCCCAAACTCTGAGGTTCTGGGGCGCCAGAGGGGCAGAACACTTTGACTTGGTTCTAGTTCAGTTTTGCTGAAATTCGTTTACCTAAGGCTAGATCTCTTAAAACCGTTTCACTGAAAACCTGTGTGTTTAAAGTTACTACCACTGCCAAAGGCTCAAATCCCTTTTGGGTATTTTTTTATTTTTATTTTTTTTAGCCATTTAGGTATTCTATTCTTTTTTGTCATGCTTTGGGTATTTCAAGGATTTATATCTATTCATCCAAGAGTACTTCTGAATTACCAGCAACATAAATTTATCAAATTTGCAGCACTTTGTAAATGATAAGATTGCTTCCTCCTACCTTGATGGGTATCTCTATGTTATTTGCTTTTCAAACACTTTTTTTAAAAAGCTTAAAGTTTCTAGCAATAAATATAATTGGTACAGACATTTTGTGTATCATTTTTTTGTGTGTTTCTTAATCCAATATTCCTTTACAAATTAGATGCCCTGAAAAAAATAACGAAGCTCAATATGATTTTATGCTTTGGTCTAACTTCTACACCCATGCTGTTAAAATGTCAATATATCCAAAGCAAATGAACAGGCATGTGGCTTATTCAGTTGACTAACAATTCAAGGTTATACAGACAACATCATTAAAAAGTGAAAGGGTGAATCTGCTAGATTCTTTTGAAAATGCTGCAGATTTGATAAATATTTATTTTAGACTAATTATCTCTAGGTAAATTGGTTTTAGGCAAATTAATCTGATAATTAATCTTGGGTCCTTAGTCTTCATTCTCTATCACTTAGAATTTCACAGTGGAAATGATGACTCCTGAGAACAGCCATTTCACATTTAGGGATTATTCTAAGATGACTGTGCCAGCCAACCTGGGAAATGCAGAGAAGAGACCTCAGTGCGGATGTGAGTGAGAGAGTTCAGATTCATACCACTGACTGCCTGAGGTGGGAAACGCACTTTTTTGGAGGGATAAATGTTCTGATACTAGATGACTTGTTCTACAGCTGAGATTCTGAACTATTATTATTAAATAAGTGAATACAAAGACTGTGACTGGGAAATTTCCTCAGCAGGGTGCTCCAGGCCTGGGAAATGGGAGAAGTATGTGTAGCTTTATATCCATCTCTTCAGTTCTGTCTTTACTCTTGGGAGTCTTGTCTACTCTGTCATTCTGATCCTTGTGCTTTACTCTGATTTTGACCTCCATCTGCTGCTGACTGGCTGACTCGTATCTAGGTCTATGCTCACCAAGACTCTTCTTGCCACTGTGGCTACTCTCCCCTTCCTGAGGGAAAACAGTGCTCACATTTGATGAGGACAGGCCCAGCCACCCTGGTTACCGGCAGGCTCCAAAGTGTTCCCTGCATCGCAAGAGTTTCCCTTCTTTCTACTTACTGGGAGGCTGCTCATCCTTAATAGTTCTATCTCATATTTACAGTTGATAGTGAGATTCATAGGGTGCTGCCAAGGGTACATCAGCAGGTAAACTGTGGCAACTCACCACCTGATTTTCATCAGCAGCCACTAAGCCTAAAATGAGGGAAGGGAGAAAATGGAAGGATTATGGATCCGTTTTGTGTCTCTTCAGAGTCACAGGACAGGGTTCATGCAGGCTTTCACAGAAGACGTTGGGTGTTAGCTTTCGCTAGCCCTGTTTGTTACAGGCCTGAGTGTGATTTATCAAGAATAAGGCTGGTGGTGGTTCTCGCTCTGCCTTACTCCTTAGACATGTTTCCCCTTTCACCATCTGGAGCTCTCAAGACTAGGAAATTTATAGTCAGGCTGGAGCCTGTCCTCAGCCAAGGAGGAGGACAATTTGTTTCTATTTTGTTTGTTCATTTATTTTGTTCTTAAGATTCCACATATAAGTGAAATATGGTATTTGTCTTGCTCTGTCTGACTTATTTCTAGAGAAAGAGCTAATTCCAGGCACATAAAGCCAATTGGTTGGTCCTTGATATTATACCTGTACAGAGGGAATAAAAGGGGGAAGGAGACTATTAGACCTGAAATAAAAGGATTGGGGGAAACATTTTTATTTCATTTTGTTTTTTAGAAAGACCCATACCCCAGATCTGGCCTGGGGTCATTCAGATCCCTAATGGTGAGGTTCCACTGCAAGGACAAGGGTCCCGCCAATCTCAGCCCTCCATCCTCCCCTCCCCTGCAGCAAGAAGACCTAAGACTGGGCCTCTGCTGTGACGATTGCTTGGATAGGGCCCTTGGAATATCTACACTTGGCTCTAGTTGTAAAAGACTAAGGTTTGACCTTGGAAATATAAGCAAACTTCCTGGGATGTGTAGATTAGACCCGTCTAACTGATGGTAGGAGAGTCATCAGAGGCAAAATTTTGTCCACTGTGGGTATTATTGCACCTAAGTTTAGATAGGATACTGCTGACTGTGAAGGAAGCAAAGGTGCTCTCCAAGCAGGGAGAAGTGGGTTAGGAGGGATACTAAAAGGTACTGCTTATGCATGTATCCTGGAGACCTAGAGCCAATCTGGGTGTGATTTTAAAGACATCCCAGACACTCTGAGCGATGACTTACCCAATGTCACATCTAGAAAACGACTTCTAACTTCTGAAGACCAACAAAGAGCTTATTTTCCCTCTTCCCACTCAGCCCATCATAGGTATTCGTGTCCACAGCACAGGTAAACTGTAAATGTGATAAGGACTTCATTATGATAGATATTTAGGGAACGTTTTAGTGGGAAAGCCAGGGAACACAAGAAACAATAATGAAAACATTGGCTCTTACTGGTGCTTTTTTGTTGTTAATTAGAATTAGCGGTAGCCAAAGTAACTTTAAAGCACAGTAGGAAAGGACCTGGCTAGGTAGCTCAGTTAGTTAGAGCCTTGTCCCGATGTGCCAAGCTGGGTCCAATCCCCAATCTGGGAACATACAAGAATCAACCAATGAATGCATAAATAAGTGGAACAACAAATCAATCTCTCTCTCTTCCTCTAAAAACCATTTTTAAAAAAAGCACATTAGGAGAAGCAAAGGAAATATATTGCAAGAGACTCCCTGCCTTTGAGGAGGTCACAGTCTAGCCAGGGAGAAAAGTACATAAAATGCCTTGAGAAGATTACAAGCAATATTTCGACAAGTGCAAAGTGATTGAGTGTGAGAAACAGAAGACCTAATGCTCCAGGGTACAGATGACGGGCGAGATTTTATCTGGCTTATACTATAGATCAGAAGGTGGAGGCCCATAACTAGATCCTGCCCCCAAATTAATTGAGTTTGGCCCACTGGCAGTTATTTTTTATAAAACCAATTTGTACCCTAGTTGGGAGAAAAACACCAGCTAATAAATATAGAAAGAGTGATAGAATTTGAAAAACAGCATTTTGTGAACTTAATAAAAGTATTGATTTGGCAAAGATTATTAATTGGTGTTAAAACCATAGGCAAAATGGTTGGTGGACAACTGGACATCCATATAGTGCCAAGCAACACTATCAGTTTACAGTCTTGAGGCCAAAAATGTATGTTGGAGGGATCAGACTGTTATCACTTGTTTTCTGGAATGGGTCTTAGTAACACTAACCAGTAGACCAATTCTGGTGAGAGGCAAATAGATAACCCAACCTGGTATATATTCTAGCTATTCCCCACCCCCCAAAAAGAATTAATTATTAGATGTAATTTGCCGTTTACAGGAAATACTGGGGATGGAGAAACAAACTAAAGGACACTAGGAGGGAGCAACTAGACAAATCTAAAAGGTGAGGCATTCTGCAGGGCACCTGGCCAGCTCTCTTCAGCAAGTCGGTACAATTTTTTAAAAATACGTTTTTACTGATTTCAGAGAGAGGAAGGGAGAGGGAGAGATAGAAACATAATGATGAGAGAATCATCGATTGGCTGCTTCCTGCATGCCCCACACAGGGGAACAAGCCCACAGTCCATCCATATGCCCTGACTGGGAATCGAACTGCGACCTCCTGGTTCATGTGTTGACGCTCAACCACTGAGCCACACTGGCTGGGCTGTATGCAAGTCAAAACTACTAGGTAAGTACCTTAGAGATACTGAAGGTATATGATAACAACATAATGCACAGTCCTGGATTCCCTATTGGTTTAAACAAGTTGCTACAAAAGATAACTGGGGTCCATTGGGAAATTTTTAGTATGGATGGGATTAGATAAGGTGCAAATTTACTAAAATGAAAAGTTCAAAATCATGAACAAAATGCTAGTTCCAAAACTATATATACAGAATAATCATATTTTGTTTATAATATGTCTATATATTTATTAAAAAAAGATCTGAAAGGATATGCCCTAAGGCAATCTCTGGTGAAAATGTTTTATTGCTGTTAGTCTACATTTTCTATTTTTATACAATACATGTGTATTGCATCTGTAATAATTATTACAAATAAAATAACTGGTTGCAAGCATTGATCACTCAGGAAATGTCACATAAAAATCTGGATATTGTATATGAAGAGCTGGATTTCTAAGTGTGTTTTTTCTAATAATCAAATATGTCGCCCCTGGACTTCCATTCCCACACGGCAACAATCGGTTGGAACCAGGTGATGGCTGCTCCTTTATTCTCGCCTAGTTTGTCACGCTCCCTACCATCCCTTTTTCTGCATGCTTCACAAATTGCTTACCTGCCTGATTCCCGCAGACATCTGAGACAGTAACCTTTGATTTGGATGAACTTAATGGCCTCCCCATCCATAGAGCCTCTCATTATTAATCATTTGAAGGTACCAATAAATTAACTGACTGAGAAAAGCATCCATTTCAGAATTACCTGTGCCTGTGTGTGTTTTTTAAAATATGTGTTTATTAATTTTTAGAGAAAGAGGTAGGGAGAGGGAGAAGAGAGAGAGAGATGGAAACATCAATAGGAGAGAAAGCCTCCTGCATGCCCCCTAGTGGGGATTGAGCCAAAACCCAGGCATATGCCCTGACCAAGAATCAAACCAAGACCTCCTGGTTCATGGGTCGACACTCAATCACTGGCCTTGCCAGCTGGGCTGGGTGTGTGTGGTTGTTGTTTTTGTTTTTTTTTAAATAAGGCAATCCAGTCACGGGAAACACAGATTTAATACTTCATCTACTTAGCTACCATGGTTGCATACTGTAAGTTAGTTTAGCAAAATTTCTCTTTGGTAAATGGAATCTAGGAAGTATACTAAATTGCTAACATCTTTAAGGTTTTGCTTTTTTATCCTAGCACCTTAATCATAGGAGGGGTTTCAAATTTTACAATATATGTTTTTCCCAAGCATGAAACTCCAAATGCCCTTTGGTTGGTCTGTTTCTCTCACTGGTTCTGATACAATTTTTACAGGAGAAAATCTCTTTCACCTGTAACTCAGTATAAGACAGTGTCACCAACAGTTTAAAAGCCAGGAGTGCTCACATTTGATGAGGACAGGCCCAGGGAACAGCAGCCCCAGCCACCCTGGTTACCGGCAGGCTCCAAAGTGTTCCCTGCATCGCAAGAGTTTCCCTTCTTTCTACTTACTGGGAGGCTGCTCATCCTTAATAGTTCTATCTAATATTTACAGTTGATAGTGAGATTCATAGGGTGCTGCCAAGGGTACATCAGCAGGTAAACTGTGGCAACTCACCACCTGATTTTCATCAGCAGCCACTAAGCCTAAAATGAGGGAAGGGAGAAAATGGAAGGATTATGGATCCGTTTTGTGTCTCTTCAGAGTCACAGGACAGGGTTCATGCAGGCTTTCACAGAAGACGTTGGGTGTTAGCTTTCGCTAGCCCTGTTTGTTACAGGCCTGAGTGTGATTTATCAAGAATAAGGCTGGTGGTGGTTCTCGCTCTGCCTTACTCCTTAGACATGTTTCCCCTTTCACCATCTGGAGCTCTCAAGACTAGGAAATTTATAGTCAGGCTGGAGCCTGTCCTCAGCCAAGGAGGAGGACAATTTGTTTCTATTTTGTTTGTTCATTTATTTTGTTCTTAAGATTCCACATATAAGTGAAATATGGTATTTGTCTTGCTCTGTCTGACTTATTTCTAGAGAAAGAGCTAATTCCAGGCACATAAAGCCAATTGGTTGGTCCTTGATATTATACCTGTACAGAGGGAATAAAAGGGGGAAGGAGACTATTAGACCTGAAATAAAAGGATTGGGGGAAACATTTTTATTTCATTTTGTTTTTTAGAAAGACCCATACCCCAGATCTGGCCTGGGGTCATTCAGATCCCTAATGGTGAGGTTCCACTGCAAGGACAAGGGTCCCGCCAATCTCAGCCCTCCATCCTCCCCTCCCCTGCAGCAAGAAGACCTAAGACTGGGCCTCTGCTGTGACGATTGCTTGGATAGGGCCCTTGGAATATCTACACTTGGCTCTAGTTGTAAAAGACTAAGGTTTGACCTTGGAAATATAAGCAAACTTCCTGGGATGTGTAGATTAGACCCGTCTAACTGATGGTAGGAGAGTCATCAGAGGCAAAATTTTGTCCACTGTGGGTATTATTGCACCTAAGTTTAGATAGGATACTGCTGACTGTGAAGGAAGCAAAGGTGCTCTCCAAGCAGGGAGAAGTGGGTTAGGAGGGATACTAAAAGGTACTGCTTATGCATGTATCCTGGAGACCTAGAGCCAATCTGGGTGTGATTTTAAAGACATCCCAGACACTCTGAGCGATGACTTACCCAATGTCACATCTAGAAAACGACTTCTAACTTCTGAAGACCAACAAAGAGCTTATTTTCCCTCTTCCCACTCAGCCCATCATAGGTATTCGTGTCCACAGCACAGGTAAACTGTAAATGTGATAAGGACTTCATTATGATAGATATTTAGGGAACGTTTTAGTGGGAAAGCCAGGGAACACAAGAAACAATAATGAAAACATTGGCTCTTACTGGTGCTTTTTTGTTGTTAATTAGAATTAGCGGTAGCCAAAGTAACTTTAAAGCACAGTAGGAAAGGACCTGGCTAGGTAGCTCAGTTAGTTAGAGCCTTGTCCCGATGTGCCAAGCTGGGTCCAATCCCCAATCTGGGAACATACAAGAATCAACCAATGAATGCATAAATAAGTGGAACAACAAATCAATCTCTCTCTCTTCCTCTAAAAACCATTTTTAAAAAAAGCACATTAGGAGAAGCAAAGGAAATATATTGCAAGAGACTCCCTGCCTTTGAGGAGGTCACAGTCTAGCCAGGGAGAAAAGTACATAAAATGCCTTGAGAAGATTACAAGCAATATTTCGACAAGTGCAAAGTGATTGAGTGTGAGAAACAGAAGACCTAATGCTCCAGGGTACAGATGACGGGCGAGATTTTATCTGGCTTATACTATAGATCAGAAGGTGGAGGCCCATAACTAGATCCTGCCCCCAAATTAATTGAGTTTGGCCCACTGGCAGTTATTTTTTATAAAACCAATTTGTACCCTAGTTGGGAGAAAAACACCAGCTAATAAATATAGAAAGAGTGATAGAATTTGAAAAACAGCATTTTGTGAACTTAATAAAAGTATTGATTTGGCAAAGATTATTAATTGGTGTTAAAACCATAGGCAAAATGGTTGGTGGACAACTGGACATCCATATAGTGCCAAGCAACACTATCAGTTTACAGTCTTGAGGCCAAAAATGTATGTTGGAGGGATCAGACTGTTATCACTTGTTTTCTGGAATGGGTCTTAGTAACACTAACCAGTAGACCAATTCTGGTGAGAGGCAAATAGATAACCCAACCTGGTATATATTCTAGCTATTCCCCACCCCCCAAAAAGAATTAATTATTAGATGTAATTTGCCGTTTACAGGAAATACTGGGGATGGAGAAACAAACTAAAGGACACTAGGAGGGAGCAACTAGACAAGTCTAAAAGGTGAGGCATTCTGCAGGGCACCTGGCCAGCTCTCTTCAGCAAGTCGGTACAATTTTTTAAAAATACGTTTTTACTGATTTCAGAGAGAGGAAGGGAGAGGGAGAGATAGAAACATAATGATGAGAGAATCATCGATTGGCTGCTTCCTGCATGCCCCACACAGGGGAACAAGCCCACAGTCCATCCATATGCCCTGACTGGGAATCGAACTGCGACCTCCTGGTTCATGTGTTGACGCTCAACCACTGAGCCACACTGGCTGGGCTGTATGCAAGTCAAAACTACTAGGTAAGTACCTTAGAGATACTGAAGGTATATGATAACAACATAATGCACGGTCCTGGATTCCCTATTGGTTTAAACAAGTTGCTATAAAAGATAACTGGGGTCAATTGGGAAATTTTTAGTATGGATGGGATTAGATAAGGTGCAAATTTACTAAAATGAAAAGTTCAAAATCATGAACAAAATGCTAGTTCCAAAACTATATATACAGAATAATCATATT